TGGATTGTGGAGACACTATTTTTTGTGCTTTTAGACCAAGTGGTTGAGGAGTTATGATCATCCGTTACCTGTTGCTTGTTATTTGTATAGCGCCTTTCTTTTCAGTTACAATTGCGCTGAAGTTCTTTTTCCCTGGTCATTTGGTCTACATGCTAAGTTTTGCTGCTAGTAATCAGCGCAGTAGCAAGTAACCCCACCAGGTCCCCATTTACTGTATACTCCTTGGTGAAGAGAAGCAATGGAGAGAAAGTGTCTTGTTCAAGGACACAAGCGAAATACACAGCGAGGGATTGAAACCCCGACCTCCAGGTTGGGAAACCAATCCGATCCTACAGCGCCAAACCGCTTCCACAATCATCATGTTATATAAAGTTAATTGACCTTTGACCCTGAATATTTGATCAACGCAGCTACTAGAAAGTGAAAAAATGTTTTTATGTAAATTGATCCCAAAAACATAGGTGTAGCCACTATTTTTGTACATCTAGGCAAACTGGTTTAGGAGTTATTACCATCACAGTTCTATAAAGGTCACTGACCTTTGACCCTGAATATTTAGTCAACGCAGATACTAGAAGGTGGCAAAAATGTTTTTAATAAATATTGATCCCAAAAACCTAGTTGTAACCATTATTTATGTGCATCTAAGCAAACTGGTTGAGGATTTATGACAATCATAGTTGTATAAAGGTCATTGACCTTTGACCCTATATAGTTAGTCAATGCTGCTACTACTAGAAGGCGGCAAAAAATTGTTGACCCCAAAAACCCAGGTGTAAATACTATTTTTGTGCTTTTAGAGCAAGTGTTTGAAGAGTTATGACCTAGAATATGTTATATAAAGGTCATTGACCCTTGACCCTGAATATTTAGTCAACGCTACTATAAAAACGCGGCAAAAATTTTTTCATGATTATTTACATATAGGCGTACAAGAATATGCAAAAAGTCCTTTTATTAGAATTTGTTTAAGGTCAAACCATATTTAGCCTCTACTATTATCCATAAATTAGAGACTTGTGGCAAGTCCAAGTATTGTGCTGTACTTTAGTGTAAGGTAAACTTGGTTTCCATTCCAAACTGGGTAGTTAAAACAGGTAAACAGGTACAGTACTTGTTTTAGTGA